AAAGGAAACAACGAAATTAGTGGTTAATAAAGTGTGTTAGTCTAATATGTATTTCACGGGCTTAGTGACTTCACCCTAAACTTTTCGAAAACGTCATGAAACTTCCACAAAATCTCAACTGGAACTGCACTTAAAAAGACAATATATTGCAGGTTCATGACAACGAGTCTCAAAGTAAAATCTTTTAATTCCAGATATAAGCTTTATCACTTGGAGCTAAGTTTTTAAACGACAACTTTTGCTTTATGAAAAATTCAACTTTATAACACCTCGCAACAAGACCAAGACAAGTTAAATCTTTTTCATAGAAGTCGATGTCCTACACACATCAGTCACCAAGACAAATTCTATGACTCTTAAGGCCGATTTCCACGATGCGATTGTAGTATATGACTCTTAAGGCCGATTTCCACGATGCGATTGTAGTATATGACTTGATGCATGTGACCCGAATCATACCATATAAATGGTCATTCGTCAGGTCGTACACGACCCTATGACTTGTCGTTCGAACCTTAACACACGAAGAAATTGCATTGTGTAAATCGGCCTTTTTAGGGAATATTGACTTACTTGAAATAAAACGATCAACCATAAAATGACTGGCAAACGGTTAAAGAAAATAACATGTTAACAATATAGGACTCAATTATGTTGTAACCCTGAATACATAAAGACAAGAAATGTTCAATGTCAACTAATGTTCAAATATAATGCAAGAACCACAGGATCAAACTACTACTTTCTCTTCATCTTTTGACGTTTGACTTCTTTTCGTACCTTGTCCGCCAAACGTTGTTTTTGCCTCAAAAAAGCTCCTCATCATCGGTTCCGAAGACCAACCCGGTTTTCCATGCTTTCTCATCATTTATCACCCGTTCCCAAACGACCTCTCTTTTTACTGCGTTGTTTTCAATCATATCCTGAGTTAACGATAGGAGATGGTCTGTTTGTTCATCGGTGAACTTACTCCATGATGGCTTTGCAGATTCAGATGCGATGGATGGAGCTCTGGAAGACATAAACCGTTCTATCTTCTGTTCAGGAGACTCAACTTCAGTTGGTGGTTCTAAGTTTTTGGTAAATTCTGATCGAAGCCTTCTCACTTTCAACACAATTGCCTTCATGGAGTGTGTTTCCAACAGGTTGGAAGCACCAAGTTTATCTCTGACAATGTTTTCAGTTATGTTACCAGTCTCAATTTCAGACTTGAATAAATCTTGAAGTTTTGAGGTCTCTTCCTCGGTCCACTCGACAGGAATTATTGATACCTAAAAGAAATCAGAATTCGTATGCCAATTGTTATTCAAATTACTACGATTGGTATGCATTATAAGAGTACTTACCTCTGTCTTTGCGCAGTTCATGGTGATAAATTTTCTGACAGCACGACGCCCAATATCTGTTTCTCTAACTTTGTCATTGATGCGGTAATATTGAGCTTGTGTTTGAGGTTTGTGCTGTGCAAGGGCAGCCAGTTGTTCTTGATCTTCAGGCAAATGGACATGCACTCCTGATGCCAGAGATTTTCTTATCAAGGTTGCGGAGATGCGACCGTGAAACTTCACACCCTCCCTTTGAAATGTACGAGTCAGACACGTGGATACTTGCGATGAAGTAAGTTTAACGCCATTGGTTGAAACGAACATGTTATCTGTGGCATCTTTGACGTACTTAGGCCTCACCCTTGAGATATACGTATTCACCAGATTGTAAACATCAGCATGAAACCATACAATGGCTGCCCCATAAACACCTCCTGTCTTGTGATTCTTAACTGATACGCGGTATCTCTCTCCATCTTCTTCTCCAGCGTACAGTTTAGCATCTTTGAATTCCTCCACTGTTATATTTGCTGCAATACCACTTCTTCCGGAGTTGTCAATTATTAATCTTGTAATCAGCCAATCCCTTACTTCGCAAAAGGTCTGATCGTTGACCAGCACAGGTTCTCCACAAGCTTTGCTTTTCTCCGCAGCTGTTCCAAGCGCTTTAATTATGTTTATTCGCTGTTGTCCATTTGACACTTTATATAGATCTTCGCTAGAAAGGAGTTTTGCAAAGTCCATGTCATGTTTCTCTAATTTCCTTTTCAGCACCTTCTTTCTTTGAGCAGATGACCACGAAGTTAAAAGATCTCTCCTTGCATGAAGTGTGTCTAATCTATCTTGCCCTTTCTCTTCTTGCACAAGGAATTTAAGGAATAGCCTAAGGCTCATTAGGTATGATCTAATGGTTCCAGGTTGATACTCCTCAGATAGTTGACCCAACCACTTCCTCAACATTACCACTCCGTCATGCCCCTCGACAGTAACAAGATCTATTTCATTTGCTGCTTGAGGGAAATCTTCTGAAAGAACTTTCATGATGCGTTTTACCTGTGACTTGTACTGACCAGCCACTTTTGCGCAGCGATAACCCCCGTCTACGTCTATCAACCAGGAATGAAACTCGTTAAGCAGTGGGCTGTCATCACTACTATCATTGTCTTCAAAACTGACATCATCTTCCATCTCTTCAAGACAGTCGTCATTATCATCATCATCGCTATCGTATACTGATGATTCATCATCATTCATAACTTCCTTAGGCACTTTACCTTGTGAAAGATTGCTTTGGGAGTCAGTATTACCAGCGTTCTTTTTTCTTTCAAAAACAACATCAACCACGCTCTTCCATTCTGGTTCCACACGAAGAAAATCGAGATTATCTACGTTTTCCACGAAATCAGTTAAAATGTCATCCCTTTCTTGCAACGAGCAGTTATCTGACAAGCTTCCAGTGCTACACTCTGATTCGGAGTCCAGGGAAGGGTGATAGTTTGGGTCTAAAATTTCCTCTTCTTCACTGTCGCATATAACTATTTCACTAGATTTGGTATTACCAGCCGTCACTGGTGGTTGAGGTGGTTGGATTACTTGGTCAGCATTTTTGCGGTTGTTTAACTCTTCAGATAGCTCGGCATCGCTTTCACACTGGGAGGACATCATAGACACTAACTGTTTAAAGCTTCGCTTCTTGCACTCTTCATTTCTTTTCCACACGTTATCCACAAGTTGATCATACTCCAAATCGCTGTCATGGTCATCATGTGTATCACCTACCTTTGATTCCATTTGATCCATTACTTTTTCATACTCCAAATTACTGTCATGATCATTGCCTGAATCTCCACTTTCTTCATTATGTAGCTTGTGTTCCACTTTATCAACTTGCTGATCATACTCTAATTTGCTGTCATCATCATTGTACGTCTCTCTTACCTTTGATTCACAACTTTCTTCATTATGTAGTTTGCGCTCCTCTGCATTACTATTGGAGGAGGTCGGTGCGAGGTGCCCAGGGTTACTCACGTTTCTGCTGATAGTTGCTTCTCCTTCAGGATTTTCTAATAATTGATCATCCGAGTCATTTTCAATTTCTTCCTCAGCTTCGATTCTATTCACCAAACTATACTCATTTTCCTTGTCACCCTTGTAAAATTTCACCCTTTTTGCGGCCTTTCCACGTACAGGTGATTTTGATTCGATTTTTCTCTTTTTAGGACCATCTTTAGTTGTGGCGCTCTTTGCTTTGGATTTCTTTCTCTTGGCAATGTGATCTCGTAGCTCTTGAAGCCCAATTCTCGGAGCAGATTTAAGCGCATCTAAGTATTGGTTTGAGTTGGGATTAAGCTTGTGGATATTTGACTGTAAATGATGATGAAGTTGAAAGACACCTTTCTTTGAATGCTTGCATGGAGATAACGGACAAAACTTTATCTTCCTATTAGGCGCTTTCTTGTTTCCATTTATATATACATCTACCTGACGAAAAATCTTATTCACTTTATGTACATCCTTCTGATGACGAGATAAATTTATAACTGATTTCCCACATCTCGAACACACTTTAGATTCCCGAGACTTTTTCCTTATTTCAGAACTACCTTCCATGGTTACTATAATACAAACAAATAGAAAACTGATCTCAATGATAGAGTTGACAATGGTTAGCACAGCATAACAGATGAGTAGAATGATCTGACAATGATCAACACAGCATAAAAGATAATTAAAATGATTTGACAGTGATGAACACAGCATAAAAGATGATTTCAATGATTTGAAAGTGATAAACACAGTATAACATGATTACAATGATTTGACAGTGATCAACAGAGTATAACAGATGATTTAACAGTGATCTACACAGCATAACAGATGATTAGAATGATTTGAAAGTGATCAACAAAGCATAACAGTTGATTAGAATGATTTGACAGTGATAAACACAGCATAACACATGATTGCAATGATTTAACAGTGATCAACACAGCAGAACAGATGATTAAAATGATTTAACAGTGATCAACACAGCATAACACATGATTGCAATGATTTAACAGTGATCAACACAGCAGAACATGATTAAAATGATTTAACAGTGATGAACACAGCAGAACAGATGATTAGAATGATTTGACAGTGATCACTAGAGTATAAGAAATGATTGCAATGATTTAACAGTGATCAACACAGCATAACATATGATTAAAATGATTTAACAGTGATGAACACAGCAGAACAGATGATTAGAATGATTTGACAGTAATCACTAGAGTATAAGAAATGATTGCAATGATTTAACAGTGATCAACACAGCATAACATATGATTAAAATGATTTAACAGTGATGAACACAGCAGAACAGATGATTAGAATGATTTGACAGTGATCACTAGAGTATAAGAAATGATTGCAATGATTTAACAGTGATCAACACAGCATAACATATGATTAAAATGATTTAACAGTGATCAACACAGCAGAACAGATGATTAGAATGATTTGACAGTGATCAACACAGCATAACAGATGATTAGAATGATTTGACAGTGCTCAACAAGGCATAACAGATGATTAGAATGATTTGACAGTGCTCAACAAAGCATAACAGATGATTAGAATGATTTGACAGTGATTAACAAAGCATAACAGTTGATTAGAATGATTTGAAATTTATCAACACAGCAGAACAGATGATTAGAATGATTTGACAGTAATCAACACAGCATAACAGTTTATTAGAATGATTTGACAGTGATCAACAAAGCATAACAGTTAATTAGAATGATTTGACAGTGATCAACACAGCATAACAGTTGATTAAAATGATTTGACAGTGATCAACACAGCATAAGAGATGATTGCAATGATTTGACAGGGATTGAAATAGGATAAGAGATGATCACAATAAATAATAGCATCGAAAATAACTTATCCAAAGTCCTGAAACATCGATCGATGTTTTGTTGCTATCAAGGGAATTTCTGTTTATAAAAAGCAATTTTATTTTTTAAGTAAGAGCTTTCACCCACTTCATTGTTAGAACAAAGCAGAAAAAATGCATTCTACGATTCATATCTATATGATTTGGAAGTTAAATATAAGTAAACCGATAATTATGTAAGATATTACGAAGGCCAATCATTCTTCAAGTTTATCGGCTTTTTTCTCAAATATTGTAAAAAATATATCGACACTTATACCTTGGATGCTTGCAAAGCGTATTTCGTTGATAACCACTTGCTTAAGGGACGAAATATAACAAGAAACCTATGTTGATCTTATTTTCTTACCGTTTGAAAGTTGCCGTCATCGACGAACACGTGAAACACGAAAACGAAAGTTGAAGTGTGTGAACGCTGACCGCTAATGATGTACTTCTTCGGTAATAAACCGTAGAACCAAAAAAATAGTTTTCTTTAATATGAAACCTTGAAATAGGTAAAAAATTTGTCAAATACCTATTTTGAGTATTTGCTACGGTAACAAAAACCCATTTTGAGTATTTGCTACGGTAACAAATACCCACTTGGGAGTAGCAAAGACCCAGATGAGTATTGGCTACCGTAGCAAAAACCCATTGAACGTATCAAATACCCACATGGGTATTTCCTACCGTAGCAAAAACCCACATGGGTATTTCCTACCGTAGCAAAAACCCTCAATGGGTATTTTGTACCGTAGAAAATACCCAAGAATCTAACCACGTAGCAAATACCCAGATCACTCATTCAGCTTTCTTCAGGTTAAAAATTAAAAACTAAAAAGCTATTTACAATGATTTTGACTTATATACAAAACAGAAATTTTAAGATTGAGGTTACATAATACAACAAAGGTCTCAATTACAAACTGAGAAGGGTCAAACAATGAAAGGCAAATAAAGAACTATGGGTGGCATGTGAATACAAATAAGGTGAATACTGTCAACCATGTTATGTGAAATTTATGCATGAACTTCCATTTCACTCGGCATCACTGAACACTTCATTGGCAGAAAATTTAAATCTGTCTGCTGTTTCTGAAGTATTGGAAGAAGTGGCGAATGGATGAGAAGACTTTTCATTTTTAACTCGTGAATCGTGCGCATGTGCAAGAGCGAGTTGTAGATACGATGTGGGGAATAGCACTTGCTTCTTGATTGGTCGATTCCTGTAAACTTTTTTTAGATTTTAGGCTTTGAAGTGCATGTGATAGTTTTTGGCGAGCAATAAACAAACGAAATGGCGACCTTTGTTGCTAAGAATAATGGTGGGGTGAAAAAGAAGCCAATGATAATCTTAAAAAGAGTTTTTCGTTTTAGTTTCAACAAGCGGTGCCAGCAACTGGCAGGCATGCAAGGATTCACACTGAAATAACAGAACAACCTTCGTTTTTCATAAAATTGTAGTTTACAATCCTTGAACTTGAAAACAATCTGAAGATTCATTGAAAATATCACTTACTGCGAAGCGCTCGCAGTTTACAGATGTTCAAAAGCTTTTTCTGTTACAGCATGAGATTCAGGACAAAATCGATCATTACGTTTCGTATCGTGTGTTTTTCCTGTGTGAAGCAACAAAAGATGCCGGCGACTGATGAAATTACAAGTTAACACGAAAATCAGATAACACCTAAACAAACAATTTTAGCTACCGATTTTCAGTAAATTTTTAAAGAACAATTTTCTTTTAAGTTTCAAGACAATTTGAAGATTCAAAATACATATTACATACTAAAGTGCAAAAGTTATACACCACAAAATTGATAAATAGGCCTGAAATGAAATTCTATCTTGTTATTGATTATACATTGCCTAGCACGTGACTAAAATCTACCCAGGCGGAGATCCAAAATGACGGTGGCAGTCTTGGCTTAGTTATATCACTCAAAACTCGTTCCCATTTGTCTCATTTGATAAAGAGGGAATCGTTAATTTTTTCATTAAGCCAGTATTGCCTTGATTTTCTAATATTTACAATGATAGACAGTAAATTTCACTTTTCACCCACATTTACTTCCAACCTTTTCTTTTGAACCAGAAACAAAAATGATGTACGTTTAAAACACATCCACCCTTGTCAAATGTAGTAACATGATCATTTCAATTGTAATGCCTTGTTATCCCAACGTTACTTTGTTTCTTTGCTACATTAGCAAACACTGAACTACTGCTCGTACTCTAGATATGACAATCAACCACAAAATTCCCTAAACCAGATAACATTAAACATAATCCAAAAAATCATGTGTCAATTCACGAGTTTGCTCACAGAGCACTTTGATTGAGGAAGGAGTATTGCAAGGAATGCATCATTGCTTCTAACAATATAAACAGTCTGCAAAGCAAATTTGTAGAGGTTAAGGAATGGCTTGATCAGCGAGTGTTAGATATATTAACAATTCAAGAGACCAAGACTGATCAAGCATATCCCAATTACCAGTTGCAGGTTTAGCACTATAAGCTGTACAGAAAAGACAGGGTGAAAGGGGCGGAGGCATAGTTGTTTATGTTCATGATAACATTGCCGCAGTCAGGGAGAAAAAATCTGGAGAGTCACTTAAGTATACCTTGCTGGATGTTTACATGAAAAATAGGTGTACTGCTATTTGGTGTGCATGTAAACCACCATCAGTTGACAATGCTACATTTTCTAAGGAACTGTCTACCGTGTTAAATGAAGCCAGCAAAGTGAGCCAGCTAATCACCATTTTGAAAAGAGTGAAGAAGTTCCTTCTGCAGTCTGGATCTTTCATTTTCAAGATGGTGACCATGTTACAAATCCCGCAGGTTTTTCCTTGTGTATCTTGCCGTGGAAGTGCAAAAGTAGTCCAATGCCCCCATCCCAAGCCAAAAATTGGTGACGAAAGTCAGCAAATCCCATGCTATTCCCCCATATGTCTCCGGGGTCAACCCTCCAGGATGGCCGCTGATAAGTGCATAAGTTTATAGACCTTATTCGTGATTTAACCTAGTTTTTATAAGTTTAACAGTTCTATAATCTTCTGCAGTTCCATAATACTACATCATTTTAAACACTTATATAGCTTCCAGGGTTATTTATTTATCTTTTCTTTTGTGACTGACCTTTAAACTAGTTTTGTATTGCAAAGTGTCAGCCACGTTAAGAAAAGTATGTATGTATGTAAGTATGTAAGTTTTGTAATCAGTTGAAGTTCTTTCTCACTGACATTATGGGCACTGAGCTTGACTGGGAGTATATCTTGGTTGACCAGTTAGTTGTTGCAGTCAAGATCGAAGAGCAGCTGATTAATCAAACATATTAGAGCTGTCTCAGTTAAGTGGGATTTTCTGAAACCAGATTGATGCTTGTGCAGTATATTGTTGCTCTTGAGGTGACTATATGGAGATTCACAAATATGTTTTCAAATACCTGAGATAGGATAAGGAGCAAAGAAATTGGTCTGTAATTATCTATGTCCTCCTTACTTCCTTGCTTTCTGCACTGGCTGTGATCTTTGACAGCTTTGCACTGATGCCATCATCTCCTGTGGCTTTGTGTGGTGGAATTGAGTTCCTTTGTGATAATTTGAAGCAGCTATGTATTTACCAATCTTTTGAGCAAACAACAAATCTATTTGTTGTTTAACAAAGAAGTTGTTCAATTCATTGCTAATGCTTTCTTTGTCTGCCAAGTAGCCTCCCTTACACTTTATATGTTCAATGCTATCTGGACTTGGGTCTGATTCCTGTGTTGACCCTTTGATTAAATCCCATAGTTTATTAGAAATGTGCTTGTTTTTGGACATTTTCTTGTTAAAATAAGACTTCTTGCTTTCCCTGACTAGCTTTGATACATTGTTCCTTGATTGTTTATAATTCAACCAATCACTTTCTGACTGGCTATGCTGATCAGCAGTTTCTCCCTTTTTAAAATTTCTTGGCATAATTCACTTGTGAACCATTTAGGTTGAACCTTTCTTATCACTTTTTTACATTTTATAGGCCAGTGTTCATATACCATATCCACAAATATTTTGTACCAAGCATTGATGACATTGTTTTGGTCCTCAAAAACAAAAGCTGTGTCCTAGGGGGCTTCTTTTAATGCAGCATTAACCTTTCCTTTTTCAAGTTTTTTAAAGTCTCTATAGGTCATCAAAATATGCTTGTTTGGTTTCTTATTGTTTTTGCTATGGTCACAATTGTATGTTCTGGTCCCAAACATAGGCAGACGGTCTGACAGTCTCACTGTCATTGCGTGTACATTCATACATTCTGGGTGACACAAGCCTTGTAATTTATGAGCTGGACTATATGCAAAACACGGTGCTTTCATCAGAGAATATTTTTTTAATTTTGCTGAGTTTAAAAAACTTTATTGAGGTCACCCATTAAAACTGTTTCTCTGTTCCCTAGTTGTACATTTTTATGTTCTTGGCTAATTTCTTATCATCCTTGACTTTATTAGAAGGTGGCCCAAAAATACCTCCAACAAATAAGGAATGATTTGATTTATGGGGACATACCTTCAGCCATAATGATTCAACATCAGAGACTTTAAAGTCAGACCTTCTTTTTACAATGATCAAGTTGGTTGCAAAAGCCAGAACTCCACTGCCTTTTTTAAATTTACCAAACCTGTCTTTTCGAAATAGTGCATCCTTCAAACTTACTGTCAGTTAGATGCTGAATGTTCCAGTGACATAGGTTTAACCATGACTTGCAGGAGTGGGGCCATGGTTTATTTGAACATCACCAGACAATAAAAGACCAAGTTGTGATATATGCAAAGGCTTGTTGAGGAAGAAGCAAAAGCCACATTTATAACACAAGGGGTAGCTTGCCTTTTGGAGCACTGCATCTTTCATTGACACGTCTTCAAGCCATCTGTCTTCCAGCCCGCAAGAGTTAGGCATAATCTCCTTACCATGCATAGCTTAGCTGCTCTCTCTTGGCATTTCTGAATACCCTGATGACCAGTTGCTATTTTGCCCAGGATATCGAGTCTCAAGGCTGAAGTGATGATAGCTCTGTCTGCCTTCATAAGGATGCCTTGCTGGACTGGGACTCTTAATAAGGTGTCCATGGTAGAGAGGTCTTTTTCATGAATGTGAACTATCTGGTAGGGATATTAAATCATTTGAAGTTGGGGAGTTTGACAAGTAATTGTTGGCTTCCAAAGGCTATGAGGTTTGTTCTTTCAGAATTTAAAAGTAAAAATTTAAACACCAGTGGTGTTCATTACAGTTGGACAATCATGTATCTTGGAAGAAAATTGAAGTTAAGTGCAGTCAACATAAAATTGTGTTGAACAGTTTCTTGAAACAGAGGGTAAGTCCTGTATGTAAATACTAAAGAGAAGTGG